TGCATTTTCCTGTGCGGGCGGCGTGCCATTAGAACTAATGGCACCCACCTGCGGGTCCGCAATTCTCTGTGCGGGTGGTGTGGCTGCATGGATTTTCGTGCTGATCCTCAGCGGCACCACCCACACAGATGTGAATCTAGGGTAACAGAAGAAAAACTAATGGGGCTTTTCAAGGCACCATACCATATGAAAGTACAGAAATGCACAACATGGAAACACTAGATAAAATGGAACATGTTTTATTGTATTATTTTTGTATTATTTTTTTTCAATAATAATATAATAAAACATGTTCCATTTTATCTAGTGTTTCCATGTTGTGCTTTTCTATACTTTTATATGGTATGGTGCCTTGAAAAGCCCCATTAGTTTTTCCTCTGTTAGGGTTTTTTCTTTTTTCTGAAGGTTTAAGTGCACTGTAATGATTTTGCAATATAGCCTTGACTGACAACTTTATTTGAATTACTGGAGAATGATGACTTTACTTCTTTGAATGACACAGTTATTGTTTGCATATTTTAGAAATCTTTTTTTTTTCCAATGCCCCCTCTCTTGGAAGAAAACAATATGGTTTGATTGCTTTTTCTCCCAAACCCAATTCAGTCAGGAATATCTGCTGGTACCCTGCAAACATTAGAACTCCTGTATCGCCAAGCTGGCACGCAGGTCTATGGGCTCATTAACACACAGACTAATCAGAATGACTTGAAGACTTTGTTGACACATTTATCATTTATTAACATAAGAAAATAAGCATTCAAGTACATTTTTTTACAGGCTGACTTTTGCCATAAGGTGAATAACATAAAGTCACAGAAGCAATCCCTGTCACTCTTGTCAAGTGGAATTAGTAAGCCTAATTAAAAATGTGAAGATATATTAGGAAGGCCTATAAAATGTTAACAAGCTTGTACAGATTTAAGATCAGAATACATAATGGCTCGGGGACTGATTTAGTGTGTGGGAGATCAGCTGAGGAGCCCCAGGGAAGACCCAGAGTGAATAGAAGCAATATGCAGGCGAAGAATGTTTTCACATTTAGACACATCATGCAAGTTCTTTCCTGAGCAGACCTTAACCACTTGCCCTTCTGAGGATTTACCCCCCTTCCTGACCAGGCCATTTCTTGCGTTATGGCGCTGGGTTACTTTAACTGACAATTGCACGGTCATGCAACGCTGCACCCAAATTAAATTTATGTCCTTTTTTCTCATGAATTGAGCTTTCATATGGTGGTATTTAATCCCCGGTGTGGTTTTTTATTTTTATGCGCTATTAAAAAAAAAACGACTCAATTTTGCAAAACAAAAACAATATTTTTTACTTTTTTGCTATTAAACATGTCCAGCGCAACAATTTAAAAAATCTAATTTCATCATAAATTTAGGCTGTAATGTATTCTGCGACATGTCTTTGCTAAAAAAAAATCAACCTAACCCCAGAAACCACTAAAGAGCTCATCCACTCCCTCATCATATCACGACTCGATTACTGCAACTCCCTCCTTACTGGCCTGCCTCGCCGCTGGCTATCCCCACTTCAGTCGATCCTGAATACGGCTGCCAGACTCATTCACCTTTCCAACCGCTCCGTCTCCGCCACCTCCCTCTGCCAATCCCTCCACTGGCTTCCGATTGCGCAACGGATCAAATTCAAAATCCTAACACTGACGTACAAAGCCGTCCACCATACTGCCCAAACTACATCACTGACCTAATATCCAAGTACCACCCAACACGCACACTCCGCTCCTCACAAGACCTTCTTCTCTCTAGTTCCCTGGTCTCCTCCTCCCATGCCCGCCTCCAGGACTTCTCCAGGGTGTCACCCATCCTCTGGAACTCCCTGCCCCAACCCATCAGATTATCACCTACTCTCCTCTCCTTTAGGTGCACCCTGAAAACCCATCTCTTCAGGGAAGCCTACCCCACCCCCTGCTAACTTGCCGACCTCCTCCACTCTTCCTACCACTCCATCCCCCACAGCTATTTCCTCCTGTGCCACCATCCCCTCCCTCCTAGATTGTAAGCTTGAAAGAGCAGGGCCCCTCGATCCCCTCATGTTTTGCATTGTATTGGTATTGTTATGTCACATGTTCTATCCCTCTTTGTAATGTACAGCTCTGAGCGAACTATTGGCGCTTTATAAATACTGTATAATAATACGTGTAAATTCATTGGTTTACGTGAAAGTTATAGCATTTACAAATGGCGGTATAGATACTGGAATTTTGGGGGGGTTTTACTAGTAATGCCGGTGATCAGTGACTTATAGCGGGACTGTGATGGACATTTTGATACTGGGGGGAACTAACTTGGTGTCACTGACATCCTCAGTGACACCAATACAGTGATCAGTGCTAAAAAAAAGCACTGACACTGTACTAATGCGGTGCGGGCAGGAAAGGGTTAACATGAGGGGCGATCAAAGGGTTAACTCAGTGCAGGGAATGTTTTACTAGGGGGCCATGTCAGTGTGCTTCACTGTAAGTACACTGCTTTGGATGGCTGTGCTGTGCATATATTTATGTTGCCATCAGTCTCTAGTAACTCCTTGCGCCCTGCAAGCCAGTGGCTCTTCAAAAAATGGAGGAGCATATGACCTTCTCCCCTGTGATAGTGCCAGGCTTGTCATTGACTGCTGTGTCACATAACCAGGGGAGTGACATCACTGCACCCCCATATCAGTGCCGGTTAAAGAGGAGTAAGGAGCTGCGAGGAAGTGCAGGTATGAGTGTCAGGAAATGCCCTTTCTGGAGGCACTGTCAGCTTGTCCTACAAAAGTAAGGTGATAATGTCTCTTTAAAGTAAACCAGTAACAACCCTACGTAAAGAAAACTGAGAGTAAAATGAAAAAATTATTTATCTGTGACAGGTTTTAATATAGTGCCAATGATTTATGCAGTGCTTTATATACGTACATATTGTACATTCACATCAGTCCCTGCCCTCAAAGAGATTACAATCTAAGGTCCTCACATTCATATATACACATACTAATGTGAATTTAAACAGGAGCCAATTAACCTACCAGCATGTCTTTTGGAATTGTGGGAGGAAACCAGAGTACCCGGAGGAAACCTACGCAGGCACAGGGAGAACATGCAAACTCCAGGCAGGTAGTGCCATTGTTGAGATTTAAACCAACAACCCTAGTGCTGCCAGATGGAAGTGCTAAACACATATCCACTGTGCTGCTTATATAATGGAGGTCACTTTCCATAAATAAAAAAATCTGAATGTCCTTACAGTTGGCAGATTGAGAAATACTGGACCCCAAGCCCTACACTATAGAAGCCATGGTTGTCATACAATGCTCTGAGGATGGCAAATGAGCCTGAAAAAGATGTATGCAGTTTGTAATAAATGGCTCAATAATAAAAGTTTTTATTTGTTCTGCAAATTTGCTATTCTGGATCTACATTTGGCCCTAGGGCAAAAAAGAATGATATGCATGACATGTAGTCAATTGTCTCATTGTAAAACTTGTACTCAGGGGTGGACTGACAACTCATGGGGCCCCCGGGCAATAGGGGATCATGGGGCCCCTGTGTCCTTGCCCAAACTCAAAAAAGCCTATGAAAAAAGGTACCAGGGGCATCTCATGGGGCCCCCTACTGACCCTGGGCCCTCAGGGCACTGCTTGTACTGGTAGTTGGTCTTGTTAGACAAAGTCTTAGTTCTGACTGCAACACTGTCCTCCATAGCACCTCTTCTCAAGATGTTCTTGACGTCACTCAAGCAGGAAGACTCAGCACATAATGTGAGTGCAGGTCGTAACCCCTACCCAGGGGTGGACTGACCATTTGTAAACTCAGGCACTGCCCGAGGACCCGGGGTCAGTAGGGGGCCCCATGAGATGCCCCTGGTACCTTTTTTATAGGCTTTTTTTGAGTTTGGGCAAGGACACAGGGGCTCCATTGTCCCCTATTGCCCAGGGGCCCCATGAGTTGTCAGTCCGCCCCTGGCCCTACCCCATCACTATGGAGCCCTTCATTCATGGTATACTGGCCCAGAAAGTGGTGCTGATGTCATCATGTCCGTGCTGCTCTCTGCATCTATAGGAAACGCTGAGTCCAGAGAAGAGGTGAAAATGGAAGAGAACTGTACAGAATCTCATGCCTGGCCTGAAGAATTTAGAATAGGTAAGTATTAAAACAAGAAAAGCATAAAGTGCTGCTAGTGGGGGCAGTAAGAAGGTAAAAGCGTAGAAAGTCCCAAATAAGAACAAACATCACAATATTTGTGCTATAAGCTTTATAGTCCAGACAGTTATGGCCCTTGCCACACTTTGTTAGAATTTCACTTTGTTACTGGGGATGCCTTTCCCTGACAGTGGCTGTTTTGGGCTTTTGAGGTTTTTTTCTACAGCCAGTAAACTCACCAGCATGTTATCCTATGTGTCCATGCACGCAGACTGTAATCAAAGATTTTTGGCTGGGACCTTTTTTGGCTGGAAAAAAAAAACACAGAACTAGTGGGTTTCTAGAGGAGTTTTTTAGCTGTAAAAATGCTCTAATGTAGCAAAATGTGGTAAAACACTGCAAGCCGGCATTTTTTGGACATTTTTTGACCAAAAAATATTTTTTTTTTCTGGTAAAAAAAAAACGCTAAAAAAACGCCGCTAAAACAATAATGCAAAAACGCTAAGAAAAGATGAAAAAACTCACTGACCTTACACAGCTAACATTACCAATGTTATCAAAACGGCAAGTGTGCAAGTGTGAAACATATACTGTAGAACAGGCCTTGAAATTTCCACTCGCCTGCTCGCCAATGGCAAGTGGAAATTATGGTAGGGGCGAGTGTGTCCCCCAGGGCCGTCTTGCTGAGCATGCTCGGAGCTCAGGCCGGATCTGTCATTGGCACTGGGAGCCGTCAGACTGATCAATAGCTGAGCGCAGTGAAAGCAAAACAAGGAGTGTGCGCTCTGCTGTCCACCTCCCCCTAGAGTGCAGTACCCGGCTCTGTGAGTGAACAACGAAGTACTGCAACTTTGTATAGGGTGTGTGTGTGTGTGTCTAATTTCAGTTCGCTCTGGTCACATGATCCTCTATGTCAGCCAGTGGTGGCTTCAGGGGAGCGGAGAGAGCACTTAACAGTGTGCGTGTGTGTGTATGTGTATGCATGTACATGTGTCTGTGTGTATGTACATGTGTGTATCTGTGCATGTGTCTGCGTGTATGTACATGTATGTGTGTGTGTACATGTGTGTGTGTGCATGTACATGTGTGTTTGTATGTATGTACGTACATGTGTATGTATGTACATGTGTCTGTGTATGTATGTACTGTACATGTGTCTGTGCGTGTGTATTTCTATGTATGTACATGTATCTGTGTGTATGCGTGTCTGTACGTGCCTGTGTGTGTATACATGTATCTATATGTGTGTGTACATGTGTCTCTGTGCATGTGTGTGTGTGTGTATGTACATGTCTGTGTGTGTGTACAGGTGTCTCTGTTTGTGTGTGTTTGTTGGTGGCGAGTAACTCTGGCTAGTAGCTCAGGACTTGAAATTTTAAGCATATACTATTGTTATACCTTCCTTGTTGCAATTTGAGGTTATTAAAAATGACCTTTCCTGCAGCTGCTATAATGTTCTGTAAAATTCAATGCACTATGGCAACACAGAACACTTGATTGGCTCACTGTAATATTAAACAATTTATGTTTTAGGCATCCCCTGCAATAGGAATTTCAGTTTTGATGAGATACTCTCCAAGGGTTAAATACATTTGAATGGCTTTCTATGTATGCACATGTACAGTTTTTCTCATTAGAAATACTGACATTACACCAGCTGTTTATAATGAATTGTACCGCCACCCCCATTCTGAAAACAACATGCTAAAACAAACAGCTATTTCTTCAGAGTACTAACAGCTAAGAATCTGCCACAGCATTTGCCAAAATCCTTGCAATGACCATTGATGGCCAAGAGGGGATTGTTTTTTTCGCAACAAAAATTAAAGTGTTACTAAACCCCGGACCCTGCATTCACTGTATCTGGTCTCCCACAGTACACAGAACATGGAAATGCAATTATTTGAGTAAATATAAACTGCTAAATACATTTTACCATCAGCAGTTAGAGCAGTCTTGTGGCTTCTATCTGTATCCAGCAGAGCACTGGTTAAAGCTTGTAGGAGGAGTTTTAATTCTCCCCTGATTGTCCCAATGAGGCTGCATGACCCCTGACCCCCTGTCTGGACAGCGCTGAATGGCCCTGTGCTGATCACATGCACCCTCCCAAGAAAAAAAAACTTTCTAGCAATACATACCAAATTGAGCATGTACAGCTTTCCCCCAAGGCTCTTGCTTATCAGCTGATGGATTGGAGACAGTAGAAGGGGAAGGATCAGAGAAGTCAGGATCAAACATCCTTTTTACACAATGCGGAGGATTAACCCCTTAGGTTCCCCAGTGAGTATAGCATGCTTTACTGCATATACAGACTGATTTTACTGTTGTGGGTTCAGTAACACTTGTAAGTTCAATCAGAATTTCATTACTGGTCAAGAGTTGGTTCTGGCCAGCTCAGTAGATTGTTTTAAAAAAGGCCTGGATTCTTTCCTACATAAACTTAATATAACTGGATACTGACATTTATAGGTAACGTTGGTCAATGAAATATCCTCTTGGGGGGATCAGGAAGGATTTTTTTTTTCCACCCGCTGGAGTAGGGTTGCCACCCTCATCCCTTTAAACCCGAACACATATTAATTACACAGGTTCTGTGGGTAATTTAATGAACATAAGGCTCTAAGTGAGTTTAATTAACACCTTAGGCTGGCCATACACTATACAATATTTTTACAATTTTCTGCCCAATTTCCTTTAGATTTACCTTCAAGTATGTAGTTCAAGGACCTGCCTAATTGGATACAATTGAAAGTGTTGTTTAGCTTTGACCTCATATTATATGGTTTTTGGTAAATCTAAAGCAAATTTCTCAAGAAAATTGTATAATGTATGGCCAGCCTTATGCATGCCATAGATGGGTCGAAAATCGGCCGATTTTTCAGGCGAAAAAAAAAAATCGGCCAATTTTTCGCACCATTAATGGGTTAATTGGTCGGCCGTTTTTCTGGATTTTGTCAGATTTTTTTGATCGGTAAAGTTGGAAAAAAATCGGCCGATTTTGCCGATCAGCCGATTTTCGAGGCAAAGATGAGTAACTCGGTCGATCTTTTTACCGATAAAAAATCTGCGCATGAGCTGTGACCTGCAAGAAGAAGAAGAAGAAAAAGAAAAAGAAGAAGAAGAAGAAAAAAGAAGAAGAAGAAAAAGAAGAAGAAAAAGAAGAAAAAAAAAGAAGAGAAAGAAGAAGAAGAGAAAGAAGAGGAAGAGGAAGAAGAGAAAGAAGAAGAAGAAGAAGAGAAAGAAGAAGAAGAAGAGAAAGAAGAATTCCAGACCGCTATTATATTTGACATTAAAAAGTATTGCGGTTGCAACAATGTATCTATTTGTATCCGAAAAAACCATCTGTATCCGAAATGGATACAAATAGATACATTGTTGCAACCGCAATACTTTTTAATGTCAAATATAATAGCGGGGCTCTCTGCAGGGACAGAAGTAATTAAATGCTGGCCGTAGACGGGAAGAAAAATGGCCGATTATTTTTACTGTTGGTGGTAACGTCGGCCTATTGAACGACCGATTTTTAGTTTTTTTTGTTAAACAACCGGCCGGTTTTCTCCCCGTCTATGGCCTGCATTAATCAGCCAAAAAAAACCTGTGTAATTAATATGTGTTTGGGTTTGAGGGATGAGGTGGCAAACCTACACTGGAGCAAATTGGATCATGCTTTATTAATTTTTTGCGTTCCTCTGGATCAAGTGTGGGTATAGGATTTTGTATATAGGAATTGTTTTTTTTTTTCCTTTTGTTTGAACTGGATGGCCTTGTGTTTTTTTTCAACCATACTATCTATGTAACTATGGTCACTGAGAAAGTCTCATTGGACAATGGAACGACAGTTGGCCTGCTTAGCCATAAAGTCATGAAATGTCTGACCCTGGCAACAAAGAAATGAAATCAGAGAGTGGCAAGGAAGACGTTTGTCCATCTAACAAAGATTATATTGGCAATAACAGGCATTTTTTATGGCTGCCCGTAAGCAGGGCTCCTAATTTTATCATTTTAAAACAGAACATCGGTTCACTTTAAATAAGGTATATATTTAAAATATAAAAAATAAAAAGTGTCATGTAACTGATATTTATTTATGAGCCATGAATGAAAGTCACATTGTTTACCCCCTAAATAAACCACTGCTGGTCTGGACATGCAGGCAGGGTTAAACAGGACAGGACAGCAATTAAATTTACTTTGCACATGAATGCCAGAAGTGTGCTGGACAATAGACAGAGGTCTGGAGTCATGTGTGAAGATCTGGGACCATTGTGACCCCCGGCTTGAACAAGCTGATGCCGGATGTCAAGGAGTAAAGTTTGGTCTGAACTTACAAACTTTATGATGTGTACTGCATATATATGGATTGATTATTGAGCCGGTCTAACTAAAGTTTATTAGAGGGAATAATATAACATGGCAAGGCTGCCACAAATTATTGTTTTAGCTTATTCTAAGAAATGCAATTGCATGTACGTACTGAAAACCATGTTTAGAGAGTATGTAAACCCTAACAATAATTTATCTAATTTGCTCCCTTTTGGTCTGTTGGATATACTATTGAAAGCATTTTAGTATATTTGTTTGATAAGTGCAAAAAAAAATCTGTTGATCCTGCCAGAAATGTTGTAAACTCACTTCCTGTACTCTTATAAGCTCTTTTTTTTTATACCAGCTAGCCCTGGACTACAGAACGCATCACCCTTATGTTTTGGGGAAGAGGGGAAGGAAGTAAGCTAGCCATACACTGTTAATCTTTTTTGGCTGAACAAGGTGGATGGAAGATTCCCCCCAGCTGGGATATTGTACTCTGGTCAGTGTCTGCACCATATTGGCTGCAGTCACTGCTCAAGGAAAATTTCCCAACATCAACTGATCGACTTCTGTCAAGTGGGGATGGCCACATACTGATTGAAATTCGGTTGGTTCCTGTTACTGGCAGGATGGCCAGATGTAAATAAAGGAGCAAGCCTGAAAAAAGAAAACGAAGGGAGCCATCACATCTCAGAGCTGGTAATCTGCAATACAGTATATGATATTTTTATTCTTTGGTTTAGGTATAATTAAAAAAAAAATGAGCCTACTCAATGGACCAATAAAAAGGTAAAACGAGCGCTAGAGATGGCAGCTGGCATAAAAGGTCAAACCTCCAATCCTCTAGACAATAAATATAAAAGATGCCGCGCACAAATGGATAAAATTCTAGTACATCAAACATGTAAAAATGAATAAATATGATACAGATAATATGGCGTTTATAAACGCATGTGAGTTGAGCTGAGGTTCAGTCCAGTATGAGAATAAATGAAAATGATTATTCAAATAATAAGACGTGTCACATAAGGGTGCAAGGTTGCGCTAAAGGGGGCAACACAGTGTATCAGTGACAGTATAAAACTCCAAAACAGGTGCAGATCCGTGCGTCAGGTGCATGTGGAAAAAAGGGGGGTAAATTGCACTAACCAGATAGCGCAAATTATAGCGCTTTTGAGTAATGAAGACCACTCCTGGTCATCATCCATCTGGGGTCAAACAGGGTACATCTGGAAAAAGCATCTGCCCACAGCCTCTTCTCCACTCACACTCTCCGGGTCACAGAGAAGGTTCCATTTCACTCTTACGCACCCAATGATAAGCACTTAAAGGGATCCACCTTAGTGGCTCAAAACAAATGAGCCCGAGAAGAAAGTGCTATATAGTGCAGTAAGTTTATTAAATCAGCAGCAGAATCATACAATTGAACAAAATAAACTCACATCTTGCCCATAGGAATGCAGCTATGGTATGCAGGAATGTGAACACAGAATTCCAAGATGGCCGCCATGCTTCCTCGTGGCTCAGGCAGTCTAGTATAACTGGCTTGACTCCTCCCTAATGGATTTCGTGCACTTGCATGTTTTATACTCAATGGATCATTTGGTCTTTTTCTACGTTTCTATGTAACCTGCAGAGCAACTACTAGCAGCAGATCAGAGAACTTCTAAGTCAAAAAGTATTTTTTAAATTTTGGATAGAGAGGGGAATGGTTAGGATTAGAGATGAGCGAATCGAACATGGCGAAGTGGAATTCGTTTCGAATATCAGGAAAAATTCGATTCGCGCCAAATCCGAAAATTAGCAAACTTCGGATGCACGAATCGAATTTTCCCAAAAATGGCGGCAACATGTGTGGCGACGGAGTGGGGATCTCTGGGAAGGCGCGCAGACAAGGCGCGCTGACCCATAATGCATTCATTCATGACGTGATCGCATTAGCCAATCAGCAGCCAGCCAGCCAGCACTGTGTAATGGTGGAGCTATAAATTGCGGCCATCTTACAATTCTCCATTAGCCTCCGGTCATTCAAGAGAGACAGACCTGTCTGTATTAGGGACAGAGTTAGGGCCAGAGAGACTTTAGGGCCACAGAATTGTTACTTAGGGACACAGAATCGTTACTTAGGGACACAGAATCGTTACTCAGGGACACAGAATTGTTACTCAGGGACACAGATTCGTTACTCAGGGACAGACACAGAATTGTTACTCAGGGACACAGAATCGTTACTGAGGGACACAGAATCGTTACTCAGGGACACAGAATTGTTACTCAGGGACACAGAATCGTTACTCAGGGACACAGAATTGTTACTCAGGGACACAGAATTGTTACTCAGGGGGACACAGAATTGACACAGAATTGTTACTCAGGGACACAGAATTGTTACTCAGGGACACAGAATTGTTACTGAGGGACACAGAATCGTTACTCAGGGACACAGAATTGTTACTCAGGGACAGTTACTCAGGGACGGGACACAGAATTGTTACAGAATTGTTACTCAGGGACACAGAATTGTTACTGAGGACACAGACACAGATTGTTACTCAGGGACACACAGAATTGTTACTCAGGGACACAGGTTTACTCAGGGACACAGAATTGTTACTCAGGGACACAGAATTGTTACTCAGGGACACAGAATTGTTACTGAGGGAAACACAGAATCGTTTACTCAGGGACACAGAATCGTTACTGAATTGGTTACTGAGGGACACAGAATCGTTTACTCAGGGACACAGAATTTTACTCAGGGACACAGAATCGTTGAGGGACACAGAATCGTTACTCAGGGGACACAGAATCGTTACTCAGGGACACAGAATCGTTACTCAGGGACAGACACAGAATTGTTACTCAGGGACACTCGTTACTCAGGGACACAGAATTCGTTACTGAGGGACACAGAATCGTTACTCAAAGACTGAGGGACACAGAATTGTTTACTCAAAGGACACACACAGAATTGTTACTCAGGGACACAGAATTGTTACTGAGGGACACAGAATCGTTACTGAGGGACACAGAATCGTTACTGAGGGACACAGAATCGTTACTCAGGGACACAGAATCGTTACTGAGGGACACAGAATCGTTACTCAGGGACACAGAATCGTTACTCAGGGACACAGAATCGTTACATAGGGACACAGAATTGTTACTCAGGGGACAGAATTGTTACTCAGGGACACAGAATTGTTACTCAGGGACACAGAATTGTTACTCAGGGACACAGAATTGTTACTGAGGGACACAGAATCGTTACTGAGGGACACAGAATTGTTACTCAGGGACACAGAATTGTTACTCAGGGACACAGAATTGTTACTCAAAGACAGACACAGAATTGTTACTCAGGGACACAGAATTGTTACTCAGGGACACAGAATTGTTACTCAGGGACACAGAATCGTTACTGAAGGACACAGAATTGTTACTCAGGGACACAGAATTGTTACTCAGGGACACAGAATCGTTACTGAGGGACACAGAATCGTTACTGAGGGACACAGAATTGTTACTCAGGGACACAGAATTGTTACTCAGGACAGACACAGAATTGTTACTCAGGGACAGACACAGAATTGTTACTCAGGGACACAGAATTGTTACTCAGGGACACAGAATTGTTACTGAGGACAGACACAGAATTGTTACTCAGGGACACAGAATTGTTACTCAGGGACACAGAATTGTTACAGGGACACAGAATCGTTACTGAGGGACACAGAATTGTTACTCAGGGACACAGAATTGTTACTCAGGGACACAGAATCGTTACTCTGAGGGACACAGAATCGTTACAGAGGGACACAGAATCGTTACTCAGGGACACAGAATCGTTACTCAGGGACACAGAATTGTTACTCAGGGACACAGAATTGTTACTCAGGGACACAGAATCGTTACTCAGGGACACAGAATCGTTACTCAGGGACACAGAATCGTTACTCAGGGACACAGAATCGTTACTGAGGGACACAGAATCGTTACTGAGGGACACAGAATTCGTTACTGAGGGGACACAGAATTGTTACTCAGGGACACAGAATCGTTACTCAGGGACACAGAATCGTTACTCAGGGACACAGAATCGTTACTCAGGGACACAGAATCGTTACTCAGGGACACAGAATCGTTACTCAGGGACACAGAATCGTTACTCAGGGACACAGAATTGTTACTCAGGGGGACACAGAATTGTTACTCAGGGACACAGAATCGTTACTCAGGGACACAGAATCGTTACTCAGGGACACAGAATCGTTACTCAGGGACACAGAATCGTTACTCAGGGACACAGAATTGTTACTCAGGGACACAGAATTGTTACTCAGGGACACAGAATTGTTACTCAGGGACACAGAATTGTTACTCAGGGACACAGAATTGTTACTCAGGGACACAGAATTGTTACTCAGGGACACAGAATCGTTACTCAGGGACACAGAATCGTTACTCAGGGACACAGAATCGTTACTGAGGGACACAGAATCGTTACTGAGGGACACAGAATCGTTACTCAGGGACACAGAATCGTTACTCAGGGACACAGAATCGTTACTCAGGGACACAGAATTGTTACTCAGGGACACAGAATCGTTACTGAGGGACACAGAATCGTTACTCAGGGACACAGAATTGTTACTCAGGGACACAGAATTGTTACTCAGGGACACAGAATCGTTACTCAGGGACACAGAATTGTTACTCAGGGACACAGAATTGTTACTCAGGGACACAGAATTGTTACTCAGGGACACAGAATTGTTACTGAGGGACACAGAATCGTTACTGAGGGACACAGAATTGTTACTCAGGGACACAGAATTGTTACTCAGGGACACAGAATTGTTACTCAGGGACACAGAATTGTTACTCAGGGACACAGAATTGTTACTCAGGGGTTACAGGGACACAGAATCGTTACTCATGAGGACACAGAATTGTTACTCAGGGACACAGAAGTTACTCAGGGACACAGAATCGTTACTGAGGGACACAGAATCGTTACTGAGGGACACAGAATTGTTACTCAGGGGACACAGAATTGTTACTCAGGACAGACACAGAATTGTTACTCAGGGACACAGAATTGTTACAGGGACACAGAATTGTTACTCAGGGACACAGAATTGTTACTCAGGGACACAGAATTGTTACTGAGGGACACAGAATTGTTACTCAGGGACACAGAATTGTTACTCAGGGACACAGAATCATTACTCAGGGACACAGAATCGTTACTCAGGGACACAGAATTGTTACTCAGGGACACAGAATTGTTACTCAGGGACACAGAATCGTTACTCAGGGACACAGAATCGTTACTCAGGGACACAGAATCGTTACTCAGGGACACAGAATCGTTACTCAGGGACACAGAATTGTTACTCAGGGACACAGAATTGTTACTCAGGGACACAGAATCGTTACTGAGGGACACAGAATCGTTACTCAGGGACACAGAATCGTTACTCAGGGACACAGAATCGTTACTCAGGGACACAGAATCGTTACTGAGGGACACAGAATCGTTACTGAGGGACACAGAATCGTTACTCAGGGACACAGAGAATTGTTACTCAGGGACACAGAATCGTTACTCAGGGACAGACACAGAATCGTTACTCAGGGACACAGAATCGTTACTCAGGGACACAGAATCGTTACTCAGGGACACAGAATCGTTACTAGGGACACAGAATCGTTACTGAGGGACACAGAATCGTTACTCAGGGACACAGAATCGTTACTCAGGGACACAGAATCGTTACTCAGGGACACAGAATCGTTACTCAGGGACACAGAATTGTTACTCAGGGACACAGAATCGTTACTCAGGGACACAGAATCGTTACTCAGGGACACAGAATTGTTACTCAGGGACACAGAATCGTTACTCAGGGACACAGAATCGTTACTGAGGGACACAGAATTGTTACTCAGGGACACAGAATTGTTACTCAGGGACACAGAATTGTTATTCAGGGACACAGAATTGTTACTGAGGGACACAGAATCGTTACTGAGGGACACAGAATTGTTACTCAGGGACACAGAATTGTTACTCAGGGACAGACACAGAATTGTTACTCAGGGACACAGAATTGTTACTCAGGGACACAGAATTGTTACTCAGGGACACAGAATCGTTACTGAGGGACACAGAATTGTTACTCAGGGACACAGAATTGTTACTCAGGGACACAGAATCGTTACTCAGGGACACAGAATCGTTACTGAGGGACACAGAATTGTTACTCAGGGACACAGAATTGTTACTCAGGGGACAGACACAGAATTGTTACTCAGGGACAGACACAGAATTGTTACTCAGGGACACAGAATTGTTACTCAGGGACACAGAATTGTTACTGAGGGACAGACACAGAATTGTTACTCAGGGACACAGAATTGTTACTCAGGGACACAGAATCATTACTCAGGGACACAGAATCGTTACTGAGGGACACAGAATGTTACTCAGGGACACAGAATTGTTACTCAGGGACACAGAATCGTTACTGAGGGACACAGAATCGTTACAGAGGGACACAGAATCGTTACTCAGGGACACAGAATCGTTACTCAGGGACACAGAATTGTTACTCAGGGACACAGAATTGTTACTCAGGGACACAGAATCGTTACTGAGGGACACAGAATCGTTACTCAGGGACACAGAATCGTTACTCAGGGACACAGAATCGTTACTGAGGGACACAGAATGTTACTGAGGGACACAGAATCGTTACTGAGGGACACAGAATTGTTACTCAGGGACACAGAATCGTTACTCAGGGACAGACACAGAATCGTTACTCAGGGACACAGAATCGTTACTCAGGGACACAGAATCGTTACTCAGGGACACAGAATCGTTACTGAGGGACACAGAATCGTTACTCAGGGACACAGAATCGTTACTCAGGGACACAGAATTCGTTACTCAGGGACACAGGACACAGACACAGAATCGTTACTCATCAGGGACACAGAATCGTTACTCAGGGACACCGAATCGTTACTGAGGGACACAGAATCGTTACTCAGGGACACAGAATCGTTACTCAGGGGACAGAATTGTTACTCAGGGACACAGAATTGTTACTCAGGGACACAGAATTGTTACTCAGGGACACAGAATTGTTACTCAGGGACACAGAATCATTACTCAGGGACACAGAATCGTTACTCAGGGACACAGAATCGTTACTCAGGGACACAGAATCGTTTACTGAGGGACACAGAATCGTTACTGAGGGACACAGAATTGTTACTGAGGGACACAGAATCGTTACTCAGGGACACAGAATCGTTACTCAGGGACACAGAATCGTTACTCAGGGACACAGAATTGTTACTCAGGGACACAGAATCGTTACTGAGGGACACAGAATCGTTACTCAGGGAAACAGAATTGTTACTCAGGGACACAGAATCATTACTCAGGGACACAGAATCGTTACTCAGGGACACAGAATTGTTACTCAGGGACACAGAATCGTTACTCAGGGACACAGAATTGTTACTTGGGGACACAGAATCGTTACTCAGGGACACAGAATCATTGAATTAAAGAGTATGTCAGACAACACGCAGAGGAGTGGCAGAGGAGGCAATGTTTCAGGAGCGAGCAGACGTGGCAGCAGAGGAAGGGGTCGAGGCAGCACTAGTCGCAGCCAGAGGCCAGTGCTCCCGGTGTTATCCAGCGGTCGTGTCTCCACCGACAACCCAGCCGTCATCGATTGGTTGGCTCGGTCGTCTTCCTCTTCCCAGGTCACCTCTGACACCTACAGCCAATGGTCGGTGGGTACGTCAGACACAGCCGTTAGTAGGCATGGCCCGGGAGCAAGCCCACTGAAATCACGTGTCCTCTACCTGCCCCTGTCCTTTGGTGTTCCCTCACCAAGCGAAGTATCGCATGCTGTGGGCTCAGCCCCACTGTACAGTGAGGAAGAGCTAACAGAGGGCGGTCAGGAACGGGGGGGGAGACATCCGCCTCTTCAGCAGCCAGGCGAAGAAGTAGTGGCGAGGAGAGTGGCTCGGTAGCCGGTCTAGAGACAGGTCTGTCTCCTGACCCACACGCAGCCGAGGGGGCTAGTAGTGAGGCGGAGACCCTAATTGATGATGATGAGGCTGATCGCACTTGGCAGCCTCGTCGTCATCTGCCAGGCCCGTAATCTGCCATGGGCCCCCGTACTGACTCCTCATGCTGCTGCCAGGCCCGTAATCTGTCATGGGCCCCTGTACCGCCTCCTCATGCTGCTGCCAGGTCCAGAGTGTGGCATGGGTCCCTGTACGGCCTCCCATTGCTGCTGTCTCCATCGCCACACTCTGCCATGTGCCACTTTCAGGTCTCCTCACACTGCTGGTGGGTTCCATTTTGTCATAGGGTGCTGCCAGATTACGGGCCTCCCATTGCTGCTGCCAGGCCCGTAATCTGCCATGGGCCCCCGTACCGACTCCTCATGCTGCTGCCAGGCCCGTAATCTGTCATGGGCCCCTGTACCGCCTCCTCATGCTGCTGCCAGGTCCAGAGTGTGTCATGGGTCCCTGTACGGCCTCCCATTGCTTCTGCCAGGCCCGTAATCTGCCATGGGCCCCCGTACCGACTCCTCATGCTGCTGCCAGGCCCGTAATCTGTCATGGGCCCCTGTACCGCCTCCTCATGCTGCTGCCAGGTCCACAGTGTGTCATGGGTCTCTGTACGGCCTCCCATTGCTGTTGTCTCCATCGCCACACTCTGCCATGTGCCACTTTCAGGTCTCCTCACACTGCTGGTGGGTTCCATTTTGTCATAGGGTGCTGGCAGATTACGGGCCTCCCATTGCTGCTGCCAGGCCCGTAATCTGCCATGGGCCCCCGTACCGACTCCTCATGCTGCTGCCAGGCCCGTAATCTGTCATGGGCCCCTGTACCGCCTCCTCATGCATGCTGCTGTCAGGTCCAGAGTGTGTCATGGGTCCCTGTACGGCCTCCCATTGCTGCTGTCTCCATCGCCACACTCTGCCATGTGCCACTTTCAGGTCTCCTCACACTGCTGGTGGGTTCCATTTTGTCATAGGGTGCTGGCAGATTACGGGCCTCCCATTGCTGCTGCCAGGCCCGTAATCTGCCATGGGCCCCCGTACCGACTCCTCATGCTGCTGCCAGGCCCGTAATCTGTCATGGGCCCCTGTATTGCCTCCTCATGCTGCTGCCAGGTCCAGAGTGTGTCATGGGTCCCTGTACGGCCTCCCATTGCTTCTGCCAGGCCCGTAATTTGCCATGGGCCCCTGTACCGACTCTCCTCATGCTGCTGCCAGGCCCGTAATCTATCATGGGCCCCTGTACCGCCTTCTCATGCTGCTGCCAGGTCCAGAGTGTGTCATGGGTCCCTGTACGGCCTCCCATTGCTGCTGTCTCCATCGCCACACTCTGCCATGTGCCACTTTCAGGTCTCCTCACACTGCTGGTGGGTTCCATTTTGTCATAGGGTGCTGTATGGCCTCCCATTGCTGCTGCCAGGCCCGTAATCTGCCATGGGCCCCCGTACCGACTCCTCATGCTGCTGCCAGGCCCGTAATCTGTCATGGGCCCCTGTACCGCCTCCTCATGCTGCTGCCAGGTCCAGAGTGTGTCATGGGTCCCTGTACGGCCTCCCATTGCTGCTGTCTCCATCGCCACACTCTGCCATGTGCCACTTTCAGGTCTTCTCACACTGCTGGTGGGTTCCATTTTGTCATAGGTTGCTGGCAGATTACGGGCCTCCCATTGCTGCTGCCAGGCCCGTAATCTGCCATGGGCCCCCGTACCGACTCCTCATGCTGCTGCCAGGCCCGTAATCTGTCATGGGCCCCTGTACCGCCTCCTCATGCTGCTGCCAGGTCCAGAGTGTGTCATGGGTCCCTGTACGGCCTCCCATTGCTGCTGTCTCCATCGCCACACTCTGCCATGTGCCACTTTCAGGTCTCCTCACACTGCTGGTGGGTTCCATTTTTTCATAGGGTGCTGTATGGCCTCCCATTGCTGCTGCCTCCACCGCCACACTGTGGCTCCACACTCTGGTTTTGGCCCCGTGACTGCCCAAATGAGTGAAGTGTGCGGTGATTCTAAGATCGACGGCACTCATCTGCATGTCATACTGACTGACAGTATTATTTCTCTTCCCTAGCAGACTCCAAGGGCATTTAAATTAAAGGTACAGTGTTCTGCACTAATATAAAGGCTCTCTGAAGCCTAGAAACACCCTTTTTTTATAAGTTAAATTCGCAGCGAATATATTCGACTCGAATCAAATTTATTCCGCGAATTCGCCAAATCAGCCGAATCGAATTTTTGAATAATTCGCTCATCTCTAGTTAGGATATTTATAGGATATCACCTTGTCAGGATATTTGTTCTCCCATCAGAAAGATCTCTCCTTTACCAAAGACACAGCAGAAAGTAAGAGGAGATCCCTCCAAAGAAAGTGAAATCCCTTCTTCAACAATTGAGAGGAAAGAAGGTTTCCCCATTTCTTCTTAATCCTGTTCCTGTGACAACTCAAAAAATGTTGCACATCATCTCACTTTCTGTGTCAGGCACAATGGTCAGTGGGGACCAATAGTGAGTCTGAATCCCTCTAATGTAGACACAAACAGCCTCAAAAACCCGACAAGGGTTCTTATTCTCCAAACTCTATCCAAAAAAAGTTTTGGTTTTACATAAGATTTAGAGAAGTCTCACCTTTTCTTTTTTTTTCTTTAAGCTACTCCTGTCCTGCGGAGACAAAGTACATGTAGCCAAGCTAGCGAGGTCAAAGACACATCCCCCCTCCCTTGCTTGCTTTTCAGAAGTACAGGATGCCATGTCAACACACTGCATGCCTGTATCTACCTTAGTCTATTTACTTACCATACCCCCACCTTGCCCTGGCTTGTTGATTAACAGAGGTTCCCAGCCAAGGCCTCACTTGCAAACCACAGCTGCTACAAGCCAGTATAGATAGACAGTATAGACAGAGATATGCTGGTAACAGGTCAACAATGGTCCATAGCGTAAACACATGGGGTACATACTTCTGCCTGTAATGAGCTGCCCACCAGCTTCACAAACCAACAATCCCCTATTGTACTGGACTATGGCCAGAGAAAATACTGTGCGATCACACGACTGCGCATTATAAGTTTAAAAAAAGCTTTAAAGGAAAACCCTTTTAAAAAAACTTTTTATCAGTACAGTCACTATAATCTATGAACGCCATGATGGCAAGTCTATATATTTGTATGCTCACATATACTGTAAGATAAGACCAAGATGTGTTTGCGTAAGCAGGAATGAGCACAATCTTCCCATTTTCACAGTACCAAAATCTACAAAACTGTGAAAGACATTTTCCATTCTTGAATAAGTGTCCGACAGTAAAATGGTCTTCTAAGTTTTTTCTGATTCCTTGCAGCCAGGCTTCTCAGGCTTTCCATTGTGCTTAATCCGGATCCGACCTTCGCACGATTCCAAAGTCGCATATCAGCGTAACGTGGAAGACATCTGTACAACTTAATTTATTCAAGTCACACCTGAAATAGCAAAAAGTAGTGCAGGAACTACTTTCGAAAATTGGTGCAAATCGAAGTCACACCAATTTCAATGGTTCCATTGCGGACAGTAGGTTCGACTTGTCATGTGATTTGAAACTGTCAAATTGCATGACAAGTTGCACCGGTGTGAACCAGGGCTCCAGGTAGGCCTTAGGAAAATCTGGACTCAGATAAAATGGAAGTTGTCTTTGCAGGCCTTTCCTTCTGAATGTGCTAGTTGTTTGGCTCTCATGCTGATCCAAATGCTTTCTGAGGTATAGGAATGAGTTCCATCATGTTTGGGAACTATCCCACCAGGAGGCTGTCATCTGTACTGGGCAAATCATAAGTGGCCAAGGCATTTTCTTCCCTGCAAGGGAAGTGTGGATGCCTTAGCCAAGTACAGTGAACACTTCCCTGGTGGGATTGCTCCGGTGGGTTTGGACTAGGAACCAAACATGCCTGAGCTCATCCCTACTGTGGTAATGACTTGGGATGAGTTTGGTGTTCTGACTTCACTTCGAATTACCCTTTAGAGACAGTCCAATAACCAGTACCACCAGATGTATTTCTCATGCTAAAATATTTCTTTAAAGCCTCTTCTCAAATAAGTTTTGTCTGTGCTTGATATAAGTCATGTTCCAATATATATGGGTGGAGGTGACATTGAATTAGAGAGAGGGCTGTGGTGAAATCATAAAATTGGCTTAACTGATTTTCTGCAGGCTCAGACTTTGCAGCATTCTAGGTATAAAAACAATAGTGACAGGAGATAAAACTGGAAATATTGATTGAAATGCTTTTTCAAAAGTCATTAAAGCTGGCTATAGATGAGTATAATTTCCAACAGAAATTCTTAGGAAAAGAATGCTCTAAGAAAGTTTGTTCGGTTTTCTAATTATTCATTCAATAAAGTCCATTCCATTCATTCCAAAATGTTTAAAACAAACAAAATCTTTCGAACAACACTTGACTTGGGTGTGTTTATTTTATAGGTCAGAAGTACTGGTGAAGCAGTATAAAAATAATGTATTATACCATCTAATCAGCATGGCTAACGGGCTTATTCCCAAATTCTGACAGGTACAGGAGCCTCCAACAATGAGGGACTGGTTAGATAGGGTTGAATATATAAACACGATGGAGGAATTGTATCATATAGACAAAGGTAAAATGGAAAAATTCAGAAAGTAATGGGGAAGATGGTTTGACTTCAAGGCATCCAGAAAATAGATGGAAGTAGTGGGAGGCTCAGTGATCTGATCTGTGGTAGGGGAATCAAAGAGAACATTTTGTAAGATCATAGTAGAAATAGGAAAAGGGAAACGAAAGGTTGGAGAGAAAGGTAGAATAGTAAGAAAAGGAAGAGTAGGAAGAGAAGATTTAGGAGAAAGGTTATAGACATGAACTGGATTGCTGGAAAAAGATGGGAACAGTTATATGGACTGGTGTAAGTTGTAAGGGGGGTTGGAGGGGAGGCGGGGATGGGAAATTTAGGTGAAATGTTTGTATCTTGGATTAAAATGGTATATCGTGTTTTTGTAATGAAAAAGATATAATAATTTTTAAAAAAATGAATGTTCTGAGACTTTTCATACAAATTTTTGTTCAAAATTCTATCCATCTATGGCCAGCTTTAGAGTACAGGACAACAGCCATCCAACAAATAGCTCCTATTGATGAAAAATTGTCTGCCAAAATTCTATGAGTTGCAAAAACAGTCAAAAGTATGTTCTTATTTTGTTTATTCATTGCATATTCTTTATATATTTATATAATTCAGAAATCTTCTAAGTAATAATGTGTCTTCTAACAAATTGGCACGTTTTGTCAATCCTAAATGATGTCCCTGTATGTGCCTTTGGATGCAGAGAATTGCAATGACTCTCTACACGATAATTTGCCTTTGTTACGACTAATAGAAACATATGGAAATTAGTTTTTTAATGTCCCTGGGTAATAATGCTTCCTGTCTCTGATTTCCCAGCAGACTCAGACCAGCACAACCTCCCTTTGTTGGCCTGTTGTCAATGTGCAGCTGGGATCATTGGACAATGACGGACATTGCTGAGTACATATGTATGCCACTATTTTCATTTATTATATATTGATTGGGGGCTTTCAGTTAAAATCAATGACTTATTAGAAGCCCAGTAAAGCCAGGACATCCCTGGAGAACTGGTGTTGTCCAAAAATTGTGTCCCGAATTCTTCACAATTGGTTTTATGAACTGGTTGTGTGACATCATGCATCACATAGTGGCACTGCA